CAATATCAATGTATGCCATATTATACATTTTTGGAATCAGACTTAAAAGAGCTCTATTCATCTGTACAATAATCTAATACAAATAAATCCAAGACTAAAGTCACTGTATAGTGATGCTAAAAAGGCACATAAAAAATTGATCAGAGACACAAAAAGATCATTATACCAAAACAAAATTGTACTGTCTAAAAATACCACCAAAGCGTGCTGGCAAGTGGTCAATGCAACTAAAAATCAGAACAAAGTTCGAAAAAATATAGTTCTACATAAAGATCAAAATGAAAAAGTGTACGACCCTCAGCTGTTGGCAAATATGTTCAATGATTTTTTTAAAAATGCTCCAGATGATATAATACAAAAAATTAATACCTCACATAGAGCAGCTGATTTCAAATTTAATGTCAAAAATTATTTCAAACTTTACCCTTATACAGATAATGAGCTCAGTAACTTACTTTTGAAAAAAATTAAAAATTCCAAATCTTGCGGTTTTGATGACATTCCCAATTTTCTGGTAAAAGAAGTACTACATCTTATAATAAAACCAATAACACACCTTATAAGTATCTCATTTTGCTGCGGAGAGTTCCCAAGTAGGCAGAAACTAGCCAAAGTTATACCACTTCTAAAAAAGGGGAATGAGCTTGATATTACAAACTACAGGGCAATCACTGTGCCGTCTGTACTTTCTAAAGTGTTTGAATATGCCTATTTGGATAGACTTCTTCTACATCTTAAGAACAACAATATTTCGTCTCAAAACCAGCATGATTTCACAGATGGTAAGACCACAATGTGAGCGATACATTCCTTTTATGAGAAGCTTATAGAATACATCGACGCAGGCGAATGCCCTACTGGGGTATTTTGTGATCTCAGTAGGGCATTCGACTGCGTTGATCACAAAAAATTCTTGGAGATTGTTGTTAAATATGGTTTTGTCGGTCAGTCTCTTAAATGGGCCAGATCGTTTTTAGTCCAAAGGAAACAATATGTTTCACTAGAATATCTTGATGCAGGGAATAATATGACACACTTTGTGTCAAGTACGTTAGACATTTCGATTGGAGTCCCTCAGGGCTCTATTCTTGGACCAATCTTTTTCCTCTTATACATTAATCGGTTTGATAATGTTCATCCAGATACCCATTTTACAGCATATGCTGATGACGTTTCTGCGATAATATCAAGTAATTCAAATATAATTTTGGAAGATAAATGTAACAACTTAATTAGGAATATCAATACATGGTTTAACCAGTACTCACTTTACTTGAATCCTTCCAAAACAACGCTTATTCGTTTTCATCATGCTCAAAAAACTGTAGAAGGGTTTCAAGTTAGATTGGGTGACGATCAACTCGATTTTAGAGGAAAAGTGAAATTTCTCACATCAAAAATGTACTCTCAAAGCTATGTGCTGAGGCAATTAAAAACCATCTTAACAGCTGAACAATTGATACAAGTTTATTTTGCTAATGTGGATTCGAGATTAAGATATGGAGTATGTTTCTGGGGTTGGTCAACGCGCTCTGAAGATGTATTTGTGTCTCAAAAAAGATGCATCCGATCATTAGCAGGCATCTCACCAACAGAAAGTTGCAAAAAATATTTTATAAGTTTCAACATTTTAACTGTCCCTTCCTTGTATATATATGAATTGTGCTTACATGTTTTTAAAAATAATGAAAAATTCAAGCGGAATTGTGATATGCATAATTATGATACAAGGACTTGTAATAATTTATATGTAAACTTTAGCAAATCAAAAGCGGCATTTCGATCACCTAATAAAATTGGTCCGCTTCTTTTTAATAATTTACCATGCCACATTACCTCGGTTAAAAATATTAACGACTTTAAGTTCCTGTTGAAGGAATTTTTGATAAACAAGTGCTTTTATCGTGTTGATGAATTTTTGAACATTGCAATTTGAGATTAGTTGTAGGTTTGTAGCGAACGAAAAATTGACAATTCCAATACAATTATATATTGTCTATATGGAAATAAAGGTTATTGATTGATTGATATTGATTGAAGAAAAAACAAAGTTGATGCTGGAGGACAAGAGACGAAACGTCATATTGAAATTCTAATTATGCCATCAGGTCGAGGAGAAAAAGTGGCAAATATTAATGAGCAATTTATTCTGATATCCCACTAAAATAAAGCCAGGAAATGGTTAAAACGATTTTGGGAATATTCGTTTTTCCGTCTCTTTTTATAAGTACCTTTAATTTCAAATCTTTCTAAGCGGCATTTTGTTAGTTACCTAAATACGTAACTTTGCCCTCTTTCAAGCGACTTCGTGTCTCTTACCGTTTCCGAGATACCAGTGATGAGGGTCGAATTTGAAACACCCGCTATATGATATATGGTTCTTTTTTGTCTGATCCTCTTTGCAGCATCCAGCTACTACTTCAAATTTTGTTGCAAAAAATGAAATAAGGATATTAATTACCTTCAAAGTCTTGGATTTGGATTTGGTAGTCAACAAGAAGGTCAATCCGTTTATTGAGGTGGCAGTTGATTCAACGGAATGTGGTGAGAGGATGGGGATTATTGTTTCTGTTCTTAGAGTGGATGCTAACTCAGTGAATGAAGTGTCTGTAGAAGATTGGGTTGAAAAATGAATAGGAGTAGATGAAGGATGACCATAAACTTGTTGATGAGAGGCAGATGACGGTTGAATAGGGAAATGTTGCATAAAAGGGAGATGATGAGCGGATGTATAAAACGGCAAATGTTGCACAGGGTTATCATTAAATGAAGATTTAGAGGGCAGATTTGATCGATTGTATCATTGCCAATTTCACATCCATCTTTTTATCCATTGGCACTCTTCCAAAATCTGGCAGAAGCGAAAGAAGGAAATGTCAATAAAAAATGACAGCTGTTCGAAGAAAATGTATGTTTTCCAGGAAGCTGCGTCACCACTTCTTTCTTTTTCGGTCTGTAGAAAAATAATTTCTCAAATTCTTCCATTTTTTGTATATTCTTCCCTGAAACATCATATGATTAGTTTTTTCTTATATTCAGATACCTAGCTACCGGCTGCTCCGTTACTGAACTACATTGTAACTACAAAGTTGGAATTTCAACAGCAAGCGAAATTGTTCAAGAAAGATGCAATCTGATTTGGGGAATTATGAAAGAACAATGTATACACACTCGAAAAATGGTTAGAAATTGCAGATGGCTTTTTAAACACTGCACATTATCCCCATTGTTTGAGTGCCATTGACGGCAAACATATTAGGGATATAAAACCACAACATAGTGGTTCACTTTATTTCAATACAACTACTGGCTATGTAAGACTCGGATTATTGAATTACACTTGTAGATATTGGAGATTATAGAAAAAACATTGACTTTACCTCAAAAAAGCTGGAACTACCCAATCATGATTTTTTGCCCCAAATGAACGACTACAAAATCTTATACGTTATTGTTATCGAGGAAGCATTTGGCTTATCCTTCAATGTTATGAGGTCATATGGTGGAAAAAATCTGTCACCAAAAAAGAGAATATATAATTACTGCTTCACTCGAGCAAGAAGATATATTGAATGGACTTTTGGAATACTTCCTAACAAGTGGAGAATATTTCACAGACCACTCAACGTGTCATTAGACTCTGCTGAAGACATAGTAAAGGCTTGCACTAGTTCGTGTACGAGATGGATATAAACATGAAGACTTCTTGTCACTCCAAGGGCTTTATGACGATGATGTTAAAAATACAGTACTCCGCAAATTCAGCGACTTTGATGGCAGAATAGAGTTATACTTGAACTCTAATATTATAGTTAGACATATTGTTGACATGACTGCCTACATTGCACACCATTTAAATAAAAGAATATATGTACTTAAAATAAAAGTATTTTCAATGCCTTACCGTATTCATTCTGTTATACTGAAGTTATCTTCTCCAAATTGTCGCACATTTGCTTGGCAATTTCCACCCAGCATTTTTGTTTTTTATTCCTATCGCAGCAACCTGAGTATGCTGTATTCCATAAACAGGGACTTAACTCCGCTAAACGTATACATTTTTCATTATCAAATACTGCACGTTGAATTTCTACGTATACCTATCACACAAATATCTAATGTCCAATTATTACACTGCCTCATTTGCTACCAACATAAGAAACATCCAAAACGCCTATGGTGAGCCGTATTTGCTGCTGAAAAAATATCCCTGTCTGAAGAGGCTCGCACTATATAACATAATGATAATTTTGTATGCGGCGTACGCATTGTCGCCGGCGGCGGGACAATGTGTGATACAGAAATTTGGTATCGCGATACTGAAGTCCGCGTCTGCGGTGTGTGAAAAGTCCAATTTGTTTGTATTTAATATCTGTATCTCGGATACGCGTATCTCGCATACAGTATCTTCGTCTGGAAGCGCTCTAATAGTCCGGGAGCTAGTAACGTCGGGAAAACAACAATTTCAGGTCAGCTGATTTTTTGATATGTTATCCTTCTTCCTCTTTTGGGTAGAGCCTAGGCTATCTGGCTGGCGGTAGCGGTTGCGTTCATTAGTGCGCATCCTACCTGTACAGGTAATAATCCAAGGTTTTGAAAGTATTTCAAGAAGCTAAATTTTTAATTTCTTATCTTTAGATAGGTTTACCAAACACTATTTTTTTATTGCCAGACACTTTTATCATTGCCAATGATATGCCATACGCGATCTTTTTTTTTTTTTTTTTTTTAAATTTCAAATCATTATAGTACGTCTGTCATTTTAATATTACATTATTTGAATATATAAAAACCTAAAATTAATTTGCCAAACATTAATTCGATTGCTAAACCTTGAAAAAGAACGACAAACCTGAGAAATCCACACAGCGTCGTGCTAGTAGTTAGAGAGAGATAGTTGTAAGATGTACTGCCGAGAAGAAGACGGAAAATCATTACAAAACTACAAATCTTGATGGAAAAAATGAAATATGAAGAAAATTATATTAGAATATATTCTAGTCAAAAACGAAAAAATTAAAATGCATTATTGAAGGTTTAAAAATTAAATTTTTTATTTATAATGCTCAGGTAACACACATAAATAACAAATTAAAAATATTAAGAATTCTTCTTTAGTTTTTAAATATTTCATTCCATAATCGTATTACAAACGAAGGATGCATCTTCACAATCGTCATCATCGTCGCTTTCATTGCTAGAAGTATTGAAATCATCGTCTTGGTCATTGTCATCATTTCTTAAAACTCTCTCATCTGTAACAAAAAAAAGTTAATATAGTACAGTTTTTGTCGTTTCTTATATGATATTTTACTGATTATTGATAGATATTCTATTGCATACTTACTTTGAATAATAATATCAGCAATTGATGATGGTAACTGCTCTCCCAGGAACCAGACAAAATCATATTTATTATCTTTGATGGTCCAACCGGAAGCAACTGGAGATAAAGAAGTTGGATGTTTCAAGTGAGCATTCCTCCAAAGTTTAGTCACGTAGCGCACTCTCAATAAATGCTGTTGCAATTCCGCTTTACAGGGTGGCAAACTCGATGAGTCAAAGTTTCGAAATTTCTTCTCAAAATTTTCATCGGATTTTTTTGATTGAAAAGTATTTGAGAATAAATGAAATCGAACACTATTCACATCTGAAGAATTTTTAACTCTATACATTTGACAAACAAACTTCTCAAGGATTACAAAAGTACTGTCAAGTAAATCTTCGTTATCCGTAGTTATGTTTCCAAACGCTAATTGATATTCTTTAGATTGTTCCAAAATTTTAAAAGGTCTAACTTTACCTTTTCTAAAGAATGCTGGCGTGTAATCGCACCCCGTGATTGCGTGGAAGCATGGTAAAGCTTTTGATAGAGAATCACCAAGGATTCGGTATAATTCATTAACGTTTACGTATCGCTGATGATTGCCTACACCGTTGTTAATCCAAATCATCAAAAATGCATTGAGGTGATCCATATTACCCAGTAATATAATTAAAATATCGGAGTCAGAACAGCGTATAACAACGTCGGCATCGAAATCAATTTGACATATATGATAAATAATGCGAGAATCAGCTTCTTAGTGTTCTTCACATGATAGAGATTCTTCGATACTCCGTACAACTTTGTTATTCAAGACTTTATACGAATAACATTTGTTGAAACTTACATAAATAATTTTATTACCAATAAAAGGTACCATGTCTTCACTATCCCAGTGATCAATAAAAAAGTTAACTAGAGCTATTTTAAATTCCATGTTTTTAAGTTCTGCTCCGAAATTGTGTGGCCGAATTTGATTAGGACCGATAGATACTGGAATGGTTGACTCTTCTCGACGTGAACGTTCAAAATCCTTAATTGATGGTGAAAAGTATTGGTCAAAAATCACATCGATCCGAACTGATTTCATTTGGGAGATCGCAGAAAGAAACTTTATAGCGATTCCATCAAAAGTTTGTGGTATCTCTTTCATGAGATGCAACATAAAAAAACCATCAACGATACTAATGTCAAAAGATGACGGCTGTTGATCGATCGCAGTTTCCAATTTCTTCTCCATCAATTTTGTTAATTGTGCTTTGTCGGTTTTACAAATTGAACCATCTGGATGACACATAGACGTTGGCATCGGAGTAAGTGGGAATGACAAAACTTTTTCAATGTCAACCTTGTGAGTAAGGGAAATTCCCAACATTCGACCAAATAAATCTCTTTGCATGCGCAGTTCAACAACTTTATTCCCGAGAGCTAACTTCTTTTTCTTTGGAGCTTCAGTAAAATTTAAAACTCGATTTTTTTTAATCGGCTTATCAAATCTACTCTCATCCTCGGCACATTCATTGATAAACTGGTTTCGTAGACCTTCACCATTTTCTTCGATGCTAAACAAACAGTGAGACACAACATAAACACAAACGTGGGCCTTTAGACTGACGCCATCTTGAAAATTTGGCGGCTGCGCCAACGTCACTGTCTGTCTCTCTCTAACTACTATCACGACGCTGTGTGGATTTCTTAATAGTCCAGGAAAGATAGCTCAAAAACTGCCCAAAGCTGGAAAAAAATCGCTCACACTTTTTCTCAACGGTTTTCGACTCATTAGACCTCCCTTTACAACATATCAAAGTTCCCCAAAAATCCCCGCATTGGCATTTTCGTCGTACCCTGTGAAACATTTACTTAATTTTATGTATTTAAGTGAAAATTGAGAATACGTTCCGGTCGCTCGGACGGGTTTCAAATTGCAAGTAATGCTAGTTTATATCAGAATTAGGATAAAAAAAGACAAATAGCCCAGAAAATCATTCAATTTTGGCCAATTTTGGTATAAAAAGGCCAAAACAAGTCAAATTTTAACCGAAAACTATCAAAATATAAAAGAACCCGTGATGAATGTTTGATGGTGGTGGTGGCAGGACTGTGTGTGTGTGTGCGTGTGTGTGTGTGTGTGTGTGTGTGTAGGTGCGTACGTGTGTGTGTGTGTGTGTGTGTAGGTGTGCGTGTGTGTGTGCGAGAGCGCCCGCGTGTCAGTTTGTGTGAGCGGGCATGCGTGCCCACAGTGCAGGGACGACCAACGCGACAGGTACGGTAAGATTCGCGTTGTGCGTGTCCATAATGTAGTTACACCGTCGTTACAACAGAATACTGCCAATGTAGACGACCCACCTGCTTAAGTGACGGTAAGATTTTTAAAAGTGTACATATTTTCATTTACCTAACCATGAAATCGCATTAAATCCTTTTATCGTTACAGGTGAACATACCAAATGTCAGGACTGAGAAAATGTTTTCTTTTTCAAAATTATTATTGAATTGTTTCCAAATGAATAAATAAATTTATTGTCTTTTGTCTAGACAAAAAAATACGCGTAACTTTCCAGAAACGTGCTGCGCGCGAGCGTACCCTCTATCCTCCTCGACCCCTCCCCCCACGCGCATACACACATACACACACACACACACACACTCACACACATAGGGTCGTGCCACCACCACCAAACATCCATCACGGAATCTCTTCTATTTGGATAGTTTTCGGTTAAAATTTGACTTGTTTTGGCCTTTTTATCCCAAAATCAGCCAAAATTAAATGGTTTTCTGGGTTTTTATCTTTTTTTATCCTAATTCTGATATAAACTAGCATTACTTGCAATTTGATACCCGTCCGAGCAACTGGAACATATTTTCAACTTTTTCTTAAATACATAAAATTAAGAAGATGTTTCAAGGTTTAGCAATCGAATTAATGTTTGGCAAATTAATTTTAGGTTTTTATATATTCAAATAATGTAATATTAAAATGACAGACGTACTATAATGATTTGAAATTTAAAAAAAAAAAAAAAAAAAGATCGTGTATGGCATATCATTGGCAATGATAAAAGTGTCTGGCAATAAAAAAATAGTGTTTGGTAAACCTATCTAAAGATAAGAAATTAAAAATTTAGCTTCTTGAAATACTTTCAAAACCTTGGATTATTACCTGTACAGGTAGGATGCGCACCAATGAACGCAACCGCTACCGCCAGCCAGATAGCCTAGGCTCTACCCAAAAGAGGAAGAAGGACAACATATTAAAAAATCAGCTGACCTGAAATTCTTTCTCGAAAACGTTGCTAGCTCCTATACTATAAAGGCTTATTATTATTATACATATAGGTCTTTAAGTAAAGTGCTCAATAGCTGCGCCTTAGTGCTCAAGTTTAATCATAGCAATACACTCATTCCACATGAAGCGATGTGCTCTTAAGTAAAAAACGGAACAGATGTCTTAAACATTTTGACAATCCCACTTCTGATATCAGCATCAGCAAGTTTAAACTGCGTACTGGTGTGAGACACAGTAACGTCGGCCTGTGAGGCGAGATATCGATTGAGAACTTGGGGGTTGGTTGTGGGTGGCTGGGGAGGCAGGCGATGTCCATTCCGTCTTCTCTTCCCCTCCGCCTTGCTGCCTGACGCTCGTAGCCGGAGGCAGAAGCTGCCGCGTTGCCGCCGTTGACGCGCCGCGTCTAAATTATGCGTGAGCTGAGTGTATGCGTGGCAGGCGAAGCGTCAATCCGACACGACTCTGCCTAGAGGGGCAAGAGGAGGGGTGGATGGACGGTGATGCAGTGGCGCGCGTTGGTGTATAAGTGTAGGTAAAGGTGGATCAAAGGGCATAGTGGTATTTTGTTTGATGAAAGAGAAGATGAATTGGCTAGGCTGAGCACCACAGATGGCATCGCACTCCAAGCCACTCGATAGGTAGAGGATTACAACTACTCTGTTAAAAAATATATGTTTGAATCCTGGTCCAGGAATGGGAAAAATATTGTTCATCCCACCCTTCCAGATGTGCCTTCACCCAACCAGATATACCTCGATCATATTGGCATAATAACTTAAAGATTCCAAGGAAGTACATATCCTATATTAATTACATGAACGTTAGACAATGGTTCTTTCCCCTCGCATCTCGTTAGGTTGAATTTTTTACCCTCGGAACTTTGTGAACATTGCAGAGACAAAGGAGACTTGGATCACATTTTTTTCGGATGTAGGAAGCATCTTACACACTGATTCCTACTCCAAGCAATACAGAATCGCTACAAAAACCTGAAATGACCTCCTGCTTTATACAGAGTGTTTCAAATTCGACCATCACCATTGGGATCTCGGAAACTGTAAGAGATACGAGGTGGCTTAAATGGAGACAAAGTGGCGTTTTTCGGTTATCAACAAAATGCCGCTCAGAAAGTTTCGAAATTTAAAGTACTTCCAGAGAGAGATGGAAAAAAAGAATTTTCCCAAACTCGTTTCAATTTTTTTCCCGACTTTATTTGTAGTGTGTGTTCGAAATAAATTGCACAATCACATTGCCACTTTTTCCCTCTACAAGATGGCGTAATTAGAATTTCAATATGATTTTTCGTCTGTTGTCCTCCAATCAACTTCATTTTTTCTTATACACGCCACATTGGATTTTTGCAGAGATGAATAAAGTTTTTAATTCTGATTCCAAAAATATACAGGGTGTTTCAGAACTATATGATTGAACTTGTAGGGGTTATTCAGTGTAACAGTAGAAAACACTTGAGTATAGGGACCCATATCCGGAAAAGTGTCACTACGGCCCTAAGATGCGTTAAAATTTAAAAAGACGAAGAATTGCCTAAATAGGATTTAATGCGGACTTGACTAAAAATTTGATACTCGTTTTGAATGATTTCAAATGCTGCTGTAATTCGTCCAATTAAGTCTTGCATCGGTTTCTACCGGAGTTTCGTAAACCAAAAACTTTACATGTCCCCACAGGAAAAAAATCTAGCGACGTTAAATCGGGTGACATAGGATGCCAAGAAACTGCTCCAACTCTGGCAATCCAACGGTGTCAAACATAAATTAATTCAAAAAAGTAAAATTTCCTAGTTAGGCCTTGAAATTATCAACTATTTGTTTGGTATAGCAGATTCATGACAAAATCACTTTTATTTATTCCTGACTTTATTTGAGATGTGATTTCAAAATTAATTGCATGTTGGTGTTGTTACTTATTCTGCTCTACAAGATGGCGTAGTCAAATTTTCAATTCGACATTTCTTTTTTCGACTTCAATTACCGACTTTGTTTTTTCATATGGACGCTATACTGGAAGATTGTACATTTAAATGAACTTATCATTCCTAAGTTCAGTGATGTATTTCCTTAGTTGGACATGCATTTGTTGTTGGATGATAATTACAAGGAAATAAAAAGGTATGGTGAAACCTGATCACAAAATGAAAACTTTATTGATGCTAATAATAATAATTATCATAAATAAACAAAGGTACATCATAGCAGATGTTCAAAATGTTGTCTTTTATTTTGTAGGCAAAGACTGATTATTCTCTGTACATTGTTCACCGCTGGATTGATTTCTCCTCTTCTCAGTCTTTCAAATTCTGTTGCTTTGTTAAATTTGTGGTCTGATCTGGTATACGATTCAAATGAAATCTAGTAATTTCAAGGCCTACCTTGCAACTTCTGTTTTTCTGTAATAACTAAGGCTTGCAAATGTTAATGTATCACGTATTACATTTTTTGAATCAGAATTAGAATTTCCATTCATCTCTGCAAAAATTCAATATGGCGTCCATAAAGAAAATAAAGTTGACGCTGGAGGACAAGAGACGAAACGTCATACTGAAATTCTAGTTATGCCATCTTCTAGAGGAGAAAAAGTGGCAATGTTAATGTACCATTTATTCCGAACTCACACTTCAAATAAAGTCAGGAAAAAAATTAAAACAATTTAGGGAAAATTCTTTGGATTTGGAAACTTTCTAAGCGGCACTTTGTTGATTGCCTAAATACGCAACTTTGCCCTCATTTAAACGACATCAAATTCTGGTATCAAGTGCCAGTATAATTCGATTTCTT